ACTACTCGGAGCAAGAAGCTACTAGGGGCTCCTGGCCTTACTAGTAGTAACTCGCCCAGGCGCACGGGACTGGAGCGGCGTCAACTTCAGGGTGGCACCCCGTGAGCTTCCGAGGAGCATGTCCTCGGTGAGTGACACCGGGGAGTGACACCGCAGTGGCAATGGTGACTAAAAATCCGGCGAAACACCCGTTTTCAAAAAATGTGTGTGAATCTATATGGATTGGATGATGAGACTGAGATATGGTTTCTACTGGATGAGAGCTACTGTATCCTTTTTAATCTTCAATGCTGGGGAAACGAACGGTCATGTCCACGAACAAAATCATGTGTCAGGCTTGATTCTATGATGTAGCAACATCATGTAATCCATTCCAATTTCCATGCGATAAATCGGCAGCTCCTCTCAAAGCACACAAAGACGGGGAAAGCGCTGTTCATGATCGCATGCCACCGTGATCAAAAACATGGAGCGTATCACTTGCAGAACTCAAAACTCTTCTCCCAGTGCTAAGCCGGTGCTCTGGATCATTCCAACCCTGGGCGCCGTGGTATTCTCGCAGCTGTTCCATAATGCGTGTGGCCTGCGGGGCGGCAGCTCAGTGAAAAGAAAGTGAGCTGACTATCCAGGCAAGTTGAAGACCAGGACAATACTAATACTCTCATCCCAAAAAAAGTGATGTCCACTGAAGTTGGAGTCTTTGAAAGGAAAGTCATGAAATTTTGGCTTGGAGCATGATATCCTCACGTGAAAAGCGATCCAATACCATGGGAATGAGCATTGACAAGACGTTGCCACCAGAATGTTCAGAAGAGTTCAAATGCACGTGTGACAGGCTCTGATGTGAGCCCTCCTGGGCTGTCCACTGTGATGCTGTGGGGAATAAGGGTCCTCTTTCTGAAAGGAAGACTTTCACCGTGACTTTGCTCAAAAGCTTTCAGAACTTCAGTGAGCAACTCATGTAGCTTGCAAGACATTGCCCTCATTTGCTCTCACCAACAGCAACAGCACAAAACACATGCCACACCAGCATGACAAGCCCTTCCGAGCCCTTCCGAGCCCTGCCAAGCCTTGCCTAAGGACCAAACCATTCCACCCACCCAATCTGATCCGATCCTGTCATCGATCCCTCTTCACCTGTCGTCACACCACCTGTCACGCTCAAGAGCGCTGACTGTGCTGAGCACAGGCACCTCATAAACGCCATCCCAATCTTTCACGTCCGCACCAACCCGCCACATGTGCGCCAGCTGGCTCCCCACCACTGCGAACCTCAAATGCGCCAGCGTGAACTTGCACCAAAAATGTGGTCCTTTTCTGGAAGTCCTATGGGACCCGCGAAAAGGTGGATTAGAATAACCATGGGATCGTTTCTGCAGTCTGTCTCTTCTTTGGAAGATGGGTTTTGACCACCATGAACTACTTGGAACTCTAGGATCAAACATGTCAAAGGAATGTAAAAATTCCTTTGCGAGGCTATGTATCAAGGCCGCACCACCTGATGCACCAGGTTCCATAAATCACCAATTGGCCCATGGTTGAAAACTGTGCTTGAAAGCAACAGCAGGCTCTGCGGTCTGCATCCTACACCAGGCTCTCTCAAGGTGTTTTGGATCATTGCATGAGCTCACCCCGTGTGCGTGGGACTGCTCACACCTGAGCCCAGTCTGCGTCCTGGGGTATCAGATGAGATTCCAAGGCTGCCAACCTGCTAAGGAATGTACCATCGGCCGCCCCGTGCGGTTCATCGCGTCCTGGCAAGAGGGTCACGTGGAAAGACATTTGTCACTTGGTACGTCTCGTTTGACCTCACCTCCTTCAAAAGCATACGTGCTTGGAAAGAAACATATAGAAAAACAATGGACCCACAGAGGAAAGTGAAAACGAGGTTTCGACGTTTCGGAACGCCTTTTCACCTTGAGCCAAAACACGTCATGAGTCACGTGTCTGCAGTACTCTAGCGGAGTATTTATGGGCTGTACATGCAAACACTCCTCCTCTTGCAAAGCACTGTACTGCTGCGCAAGCTTAAAGAAAGTAAACATGTGAAACTTCCCGCTGCTGAGCCACTCTCAGTTGTGGTAGTGGAGCTTGGCCAGGGACCTTACTCCAAAACATCCAACTGTCCTTTGCTTCGCTTGCTGAGGAATGCATACTGCAGGTCCTCCATGGTTTTGCGAAGCTGCACCCCAGGCACCGATTTGGTCAACACATCGGCTTTGTTCTTGATTCCTGGAACGTGGTGCACTTTCAAGTGGCCTTCGGCAACCCTTTCTTGCAACCATAGGTAGCGAGTTTGGATGTGTCTGGCTTTTCCCAAACCCACTCGGTTGACAGTTCCTTTGGCTGCGTTGGAGTCGCCTTCTATGGTGACTTCCAAATCCAAACCAAGATCTGCGCATAGGCTTTGAAGTCCTAAGCCCACAGATCCGCCCTTCACGAGTGCGTAGTATTCGCTCTCGCCTGTGGAAAGGGCTATGGTGGATTGGATGTTACTGCTGTGTTTCAGCACGCGTGTGCCATAAATGGCAATCATGCCAGTTGTGCTTTTACGTGTCACAGCATCTCCACCGTGGTCGGCGTCGACCTGGACCCTCAGCTTTGAGGGTACCTGCTGTGAGCCAAAACATTGCCCAACATCAGGGTATTTCTTCAAGTACCTGATGAGACGTTTCAAGTCTGCAAGTTTGGCTTCTGTTGGCGACACCATACCTCGAGCCAGGTTCCTGACTGCGTGTCCAATATCGAGTCGATCTTGGGACAGATACGCAGCACGCATCGTAGCTGAACGATACTTCGATGCCTCGCTCTTATCAAGCAGCGGACTGCGGCTTTCCAGCATCTGCTGATCTGCCGACTTCTTGACGTCTGGTGATTCTACACCGTTTGCCTTTTCCAAGCCAAATGCCTGGATCAAAAGATCAACGTGTCTCCGATCGGCTTCGATCACAATCGATCCTTTGCCGTTCTTCTTTTCGACTCGGATCAACCGATTCAGAAAATGGGCTTCTGTTCGGTCTCCATCCTCGTCTCCAAGAATTCCGAGACATTTCAGCTCATAGGCATCTTTGAGGACTTGGCTGAGCTTCTCCAAGTGTTGGGCGTCTCCGAGTGCTAGGAAGTCATCTCCACGCACCATCACTCTGACGTCCCAAGCTTCTTGGTAGAAGACTGACGCATTCGACAACCCTCTGCGGAAACCAGCTTTCTGCAGAGTCTCTGTGTAGTGCGTCTGCCAGATATTTGGAGCGTCCTGTGTCCCATACATTGACTTCACGAGAAGTCCACAGGTTTGTCCATCTTTACTGGCTTCGTCCTCAGGCGGCAGCTCTATGTAGATCTTTCTCTTCGGGGTTCCATAAAAGTGTGCTCTGGTCTTTCTTGCCTTTATCTCACGCACAACTAATCGGCTCCTGTAGTTCGGGTTTGTCGGATCTCCCTTATTGGTGTCCAACCATCTGACTGGAATCGGGGGTTTCCCCGTTTCCTCAAAACACTCGGCTCTTGGCCGGGGCACATAAACGCCATGCTTCTCTTTCAGGTAGTCCATCTCAAGGCGTCTTGCCTCCTTCACTTTCTCGGCTGGCAAAATGCCGCCGTTCACATCATCCATGTAGACCTCTTCGAACTCTGGGTCCATCAGAGGCATCTCTGGAACTGGGCCTGCTGCGAACAGATCGAAGGTGTTCAACTCACCCTTTTCTGCTAGCGTGTCACGCAGGCTCCTCAGCACTGCTTTCACAAGCTGCGGTGGGTATACCGCTGCCTGCCTAGCAATGCCTCCAATCAGATGGATGCGTCGGTGCCATGGTCCTTTGCCCGATTCATTCGAGCAGACTCCTTGCAAGACTCGGGCCAACCCTTCATCGTTGGTCATCCAACCGGTCTCCTTTCTCACATAGCCGGTGCCTTGGAGTCCTCTTCGGTCGGTGGCCATCATCTGCCACCTGCACATTGGACCTTTCACCACAAACACACCATCTTCTTTTGCTAAGGCCTCAACCTTCTCATCCTTCCAGCTGGTTGCGGCCCATGGTGCCTCATGGAGGAATTTTCGCCCCGAGCGATGCTGCTTGACATACAGCTCTACGCTCGTATGAAGGTGATGGACGGCTTCGTCCATTTTCCTCCTCCTGACATCCGGTGCCATGTTTCTCCAGTTTAGATTCTGGAGCTGCGAGAACATATGGCACGGAGGCGATCCGGTCAAGAGAGCCGGTTCGTCTCTCTCTAGGATGTTGTGCACCTCTTGGACATCTTCGGACTTGTTCAAGTCCCAGTATGTTCCATCACTTTTCGTTTCATTCAAGTCGACCGCGAAACCCGGTCGCAACTTGTACCGCTCCGCGGTGAACCTCTTGGGCGAGTAGGTTTCCATGACATCTACTGCTGACATCTGCATATTCAAATGCGCGATGTCTCCGATCTCTTGCTCAGTGATCTCAATGCCATTCGCCTCATAGGTTCCTTGAATGATCTTCTTCAGATGCTGCTTTGCGATCTCCTTCTCTTTTACCAAGCTTGCTGCATCTGGCTTCCACCCTGCTGGTGGTGTTTCTGGAACATGGGAAAACTGAGACGTTTTCTTTGGACTCTCTTCCACTCTGGGATCAAGGTCTTCTACGGCAGTCTCTGCCGTCCTCTTTGTTCCTTGGGCTGGATTCGGCTTGACCTTTGCCCCGGGTGGATCTATTCTAAGTTCCCCTGTTCTCTTCTTGGGCTCTGTTGCTACCTTGGCTTTCGCCACTGGTTTCTTCTCTATATCGGCTGCTTGCCTCTTCATCTCATATCTCTCTTTCGGGTCATCGGGATAGGTCTGGGCTTCCCGATCCTGCGCTCTTTGCTTCTTCTTTCTTCTCTGGTTCTCCGGCCGCGTCTTCGGCCGTGATGTCGGTGTCCTTGTCGGCCACGACTTTCGGCTTCACAGTGTCAAGCTGTTGCCGTTCTTTCCTCTTCTTTGCATGGGCTTCAAGTCTCGCTTGCCCAGCTTCATCCTTTTCCATTGCTTCGGTGATCCTTGCTCTGCACGCCTCTGTGTGCGGCAAGGTCGTCCTCTTGTCTTCCAAGATGCACCTGCATCCTGGGCAGCCTTCTGTGGCTCCATGCTTGTGCACATCCTCTCTCCTGATGTACACTCGCCTCTGCTGTGGTGGTGCCACTCGTTCCTCCTTGCGAGGTGGTACCACAAGACGCTCTTCGAGCATCAACTGCTCACCGGCAGGCCTTGCCGCGGAGTGCTCCCACGGTAAGCCCCGCAAAAGGTCCCAACCACTTGGGTCCCAGCGGTCGGCTGAACTCAGCCGCCGGATTCCTGTGCCTCTGCGCACGCCATGGGCCGTCATCACCAAAATGGATCCTGTTCGGCCATGGTGACCTACATAGCGTCCTTCTTTCAGGATGCGAACTCCCTCGCCTACCTCTCTGAAGTATAGGCGTTCACCAAAAGCTATGGCGGGTTTCCGCCATTGCTTCCCACATCTTCTGGCCTCAGGCGTTCTGCCGTCTTGGCCTTTCTTGTACCTGCTCAACAGGTCTCCTGCCTGCCTTGGCAGCCATGCCAATGCAGGATCATCATCTTTGAGCTCTTTGCCGAGCTTCTCTTCCAACGCGCTGCGGAGGACTCGTACTTGACGTTTGACCTCGTTGCAGGCGTTCTCTGCCAGACCATTCGCTTGATGGTCTCCTACTGGCGACTCTTCCGAAACCCAGTCTATGCCGGTTTCTTTCGCTGCCGCTTCCTTCAAAGCTACCACGGATGGCTCACCATCCGACTTGAGAACCACCTTGCGGTGTCCCAAGTTCTTCAAGAAGTTCGCCACGAACTTCACTGCATACGGCGTTGCTCCCTTCGAATCCACGAAGGGCGCCGCTAAGGACTGTGTCCTCTCATCTTTCACCACGAGGATCGGCTTCACTCGCTCGTCCTCCACACCGCCCCGTGACATGAACGTGTAGTCCATTGCCACTGTGGGCACAAGGCTCTTTGCCTTCTGTTCCTCGGACCTCGTCCGATGCGGCTGTCCTACAGCCCGTCCAGCAATGCAATGCCGGCACCAATTCCGATACTGCACATGGCCTGTCGCCTCGCGCTCTTCAATCTCAGCCGGAGTCGGATCCTCCGGAGCTCTTATCTGGATGGGTTTCTCAACCTCATCAACTAATTCCAACTCATCATCTTCTTCCTGCCTCTCTGGACCAGGTCGGCCTGAATCCATAGAAGCATCCCCTCTTGCTCCTGCAGCATTCAACTCTGCAATGCCACAGCATTCCTTGGTCGGTTCATACCCTGGCTTTCTCAAGTAGAAATTGTACACTCCCTGCTCTTGATACACAGGAATCCAATTCCGCTGATCTACAGCGCTCGCTTTCTCCAGGATCGCCTGAACAGCCTTTCCAACTTTGGACCCTTGCGGAATCAAGTTTCCGCCTTCACATCAAGAACTGCAATCCTTCCAAAGCCTAAGCACTTGGATGCTGAAATCAATGGCTTGTGAACATCGGCCATTGAGCCTTTCATGCGGCATTTGTTGCCGCTCTCATCGAACCCTTCAAAGGTTCCAATGCCCTGACTGGGCACCAACTCTCCTGATGCAGTCTTGAAAACAACCCCGTTGCCTTCACTGACAACCACTCGGTCCTCCCAGCCATTCGGGATGGCTGTCTGGGCTGCTCCAGTGTCCAGGTTAAACTTCATCCATTCTTCGGCGGATGAAGTATCCGCTATTCCAACTCCACTCAAGTCTGCCATGAGCATTCCGACATCTGCTTCCGGAGCCGGCTCAATGCCATCATCCGGATCATCCATCTCTTCCATACAGACTGCGGCTTTACCTTTGCCGCCTTTTCCACCTTTGCCTTTACTGCCTTTGCCACTCCTATCTCCTTTGCCTGAACCTGACCATTTATCGCCTTTTCCATCCGGCCGTTTCTTGCTCCAGCAATCGGCCGCTCTGTGTCCCTTCTTACCGCAATTGTAGCAGGTGATATCTTGAGCCGTACTTGAGCCTTTACTTGAATCTCCTTTGCTTGAGCCTTTCTTTCCATCACCTTTGACCTGTTTACCTTTTCCTTTACCTTTTCCTTTGACCAGGCTTGCAATCCATTGTCCGATCGAATCGACATCCATGGGTTGAGGTCCTTGATAGTTGGAGCTTGATGAACCTGGTTTTGGAACAGATGACTTAGATGTGAGAGATGTTTCGATAACAAGCTCGATTTCCTGTTTGATGAGTGCGTAGGTTGTTAGTCTACTTTTGTTCAACAGGAGGTGTTTTTCCAAATCGGGTGGAAAAAGCATCTCTAATGAGGCGGACTTGATGTGGTCCGATAGAGTCTCCCTTATTCCTGCGGCACTCCTCCGGGACTCGTACCGCCTGATGAGTTCTTCGAGCTGTTCGATCGCTGGCCTCACCGCGGACCACGTTTTGACTCGCTCAGGTTGGAGAATTGCTCGAAGTATATTGCGTTTCGGGGATCCCAACGACGGTGAACCCGTCGATATGCTTCAAATCCATTTGAAGCTCCTACCATCAAATCCTCTGTTTCACCTGAGGTCAGGGTCAGGAGGACGCGATGAATTTGATCAGCTTTATCCTCTAGATCGTCGATGGCTGCTATAGAGCCAGGCCCAAATGCGGATTCCATTCCGCTCATTTCAATCGCGTCTTCCTGCTCCAAGATGTATTCAAGGATTTCTATGAACTCTCTCCCAAAAGTGGTTATGAACAGGTTGTCGATGCTCCTAGCCCACTTTCGGAATTCCCCTTCAACATTCCCAAAACTCTCAGGACGTCCCAAACGCTTGGTATCCATAAGTATTTGGGACTTTCGTCTATCCTCCTTTTTCTCAAGGCTCTTGGCCAGTTCTCCCACTGCTGAAGCCAGCATAGATACCCCACCTTGGGATTCTCTCAGTACCTGGTTCTCCTGTTCCAAACGTGCCTGGTTTTGCTGAAGCTGCAAAACCATATCAGACAACTGTTGAATCTGCTGTTCCAATGCCATGGTTCCCTAATCTCAACCCCGAAGGCGCTGCTCTCGCACCTTTTCCGCTACGGACGATTCGTCCGATCTCCGGCCCCTCTTCTTTTGTTTCTGCGGTCCTTTCAGCCGCTGAAGTTGTTTCTGCGGTCTTCTCAACCGCTGGAGTGGTGCTTGCGGCTGAATCCGCCGCTGATGTGGCTGGCAAAGGCTCTTTCTCCTCCTCCTCTTTTTCTTTACTTCCTTCTCCTTTTCCACTCGGGGCGGCAGAAGCTGCCGCTCCCGAGGATCCCAGCTCCTCCTCCTCGGAGCTCTCGACTTTACTGTGTCTCTCTTCCTTTAGGCGGAGTGCTCGGTCCCTGTCACTCTCACCGGACCCTTTCGCTACCATGAAAACGAGGTTTCGACGTTTCGGAACGCCTTTTCACCTTGAGCCAAAACACGTCATGAGTCACGTGTCTGCAGTACTCTAGCGGAGTATTTATGGGCTGTACATGCAAACAGAAAGAAATATATATATATATATGTATATATATATATATATACAGTAGAAGCTTTTCCTCGAAGAGACAACCGACAATGACAGCAGACTAACTAAGGCACACACTTGATAGGCGGAGGTGGCGTTTTTGCACCACGACCGCTATCAAGCATCCATGCCCCTAAGCAGCACGCTCTTTTCTATTCTCAAGCTTTCTTCAACAGCAGTTTCAACTCCTGCAGCAAAAGCTCTTGTGGTGGCTTCACCCATTGCATCATGAGCAACTTAACTTTACAGCATCTCACTTAACTGTATGGCCCAACTGTTTTTCAGTTGCATTGACATGCGCAGGCCACCAATCATTTGTTGTGCTGTCGGAAAAAGAGTTGCCAGCCAAACAAATCTGGAGGATCAAAGGAAGGCCTAAACATACCTGCACACGGTGTTCTGTGCACACCTTTGCAGGCTATGGTCACATGAAAGGGAAAGTCCCTCCATGCAAACACTAACATCCAGTGCCAGAGGTGAAATCAACTTGCTTTGCGTCATCTCTGAGTGTGAAGAAGTGTCACGACCTGTCATCAACATTCAATCTGCAGGACTATGCTGGGCTGCTTTTGCCGGAGAACTGCAAGTCAAGTCACAAGCAAGCCTCGCAACCCAAGAGATCGAAATATTAATGCCCACGCTTGATAGACTGATAGACCATCTGCGACTTGAACTGTGCAGCATCAACTGCGTTTGCAACTTCAACACCACTCCACTCCACTCCCTGCCCTCCACCCGTGCCCAGCATAGAATCAATTATGTTTGCAACTTTCATTCAAATGCACCAAAAGCAGGTATATAAAACTTCCTCCCTCAGTGGCCCTGAAGGAAACCTCAAAAGCACCGCAAAAACCACACAAAATCGTGTTCCAAAGCAAAAAGCCACGGCCGTCTATCAAGCGTGTGCCAACTACTATGTCTCACACCTTATATATACAAAACAAGAACGTTAGACTGAAACAAAAAGCTGGAGTTACGCCAAAGAACTTATTGCATGGATCACACTATCCGAGACGACCTGGGCATGACAAATCCAACGGGCCTGCTCATCATTACATAGCACATCAATGAATCTTACAGCATGTCACGACGATATTATACTTGCAAATGCACAGAGAAAAAAAAATAAACAAAACAGCAAACTTGAAGCAAGCTGGGAGAACAAATGGGAACTGTCTCTTCCAGAACATCTGCATCCCACCTTCATCCTCTGGTAGCGCAGCACAGCTTTCCGTCGACCTTCGATGTCGCAAATTCCCGAGCCTCCAACAGTCGCGCTTCCGCCCACAACGAATCTTGCGGCTTGAAGCCTTGAAGCTTTCTTTCCAAGCCAGACCATGTCCAGATTGTTTGCCAATCAAGAAACAATTTGGATAATTGGCAAATGCGTACAAGAACGACTCACAAGATCCTGCCTGGAACAGTAGGCTGTTCTGGGCCGCAATCAGGATCCCAGCAAGCATCATTTTTCACAAAGTCTACCTCCCACCTTGGCCACGACAAAGCTGGTCGCAGACGCATTGAACCCCCTTTAGGTGCAAGCGGAACGTGGTTCGGTCTGGCTTTCCAAACACCATGCTCCGGCGGACCAACCATCCATCTAACACACAGCTAACCCTCACACCAAGCAAGCTCTTAGCCCAACCGATGTTGAAAGCCAACACTTGTTGTGGTTTGCGCACTGCTTGAAGATGTGACAAGTTCCCACATTAAATTGGGCGATTCGTCATCACATATGCCATAGATGTCATCCCGTAAGACTCAATGGGAGGAAAACTAACATCCCAAGAACCTCCAGTAAGCTTAATGTGGCGATTGGCCCCATCCGAATTGGCCCGAGTTGATGCTCCTCACCTCTGGCATGCTTTTTTTCGTGGTCTTTACACTCATGATCCGCAGTGACCATGGCTCCAAGATGCTCAGCAAAGGCTTTTGCATCAGCCTCCTAGAACGAGAAACATGGGCCACGGCCCCAAGTTTTTGTACCTCTAGCTGTAGGTCATGGCACCAGGCTACCTAGAAGATCATATAGAAGCTAGATGGTGGGCTAGGCCTCCAGGTTTTTAGCCATCCCCAGATAGCAAATCTCAGAGAGTGGAGCATTGGATGGTTGGGAGGAAGTTTTGGCTGATGGCAGCAATGAACACCCTCTTCAGGTGAGGGCCAAACTTCAGCGCGCAGCCACCCCTCAACTCAAAGTATCTGCAACAAGGCGTGGAGTCCACTATATATATAGTCTTTGCTTGTTCCCGTGCTTATTCACATCCACCAAAAGTATTGGCGTCCAAGTCTTCCCAAGATATCCTGACCAGGGCCAGGTGTGTCAGTGGTTGCCTCCCAAGAAGAACTGTTATATAATTCAAAGAAATAAGCATGTGCTTCACAACTGCTAGCCCTGTGCAATAATCTCCATCCAGTCATGGGGTGGCGACTGTCTCATTTAGAAGTTTCTTATCTGCTCTTGTGGCGTTTCATCTGGCCAGTAGTCTCCGGTCTCCTCGTGGTCGCGGCTCGAGGGTCGACCCTCACAGGTGCTCACACCCCTCGCGGAAGAAAGCCCAACGAACCAGACCGGGAACCCGGGCGATGACGACTCTGGTTTGGGTAGTGCATCGCTACTCGTAGCAAGAAGCTACTAGTAGCCAAGTGCATCGATCGCTACTACAAATTAACATGTGCATCGCTACTAGTAACAAGTGCATCGCGACTTACTTGGAAACACTGAGCGATCTGTTGGGTGGTATTTTCAAATGTTGGTCGTGTCTGGTCATATTTAAGAGTGTCTTGTCATGAGTCACTGTCATTCTGATTGTGGAAGAAAGGTCCTCTTTAAAGATTGCTTGGTTTTTCTGGAATCCCAAGAACTCTTGCATTCAATTCTTCTATTGCTCAAAGAAAAAAGGATGTGGCCACATCAGAATTACCAGGCAATGTGAGAGAGGGGAGTTCCACCATCAGAGCCTGCAAATGACAGACTAGCCGGTAGAAGCCCCAAAGGCAAGGCAGTCGAAGGAGGTACATCCCGCACGTGGAGCCGAGCACCTGCACGTGTAGATTCCAAAGAGAAAATTCATCTCGTGCAGCTTCTGACCTTGGCAAAACCCGCAGGGTTTGAGCTGCCTGTGGCAAAAGGAGATGCAGCAAAAGTTGCAGGCTCAAGATTGTACACTATGAGACTTTGAAGAAGCAGTTAAAAAGAAGCTTTGGATGCTGAAGGAAAAATTTCAGCACATGAACTACTAGTTGACCTGGAATCGGCTCCTTTTGGCGTTAGACGTCACCGACAAAAATGGCCGAGCTCCCGCCGAGGTGCCGAAGTCTTTGATGCCAGAAGGAAAGGCGTTGCTGTCCGCCTCCAGAGTGACCCCCCGGGTTTTCGCCATCCAGCAGTCGTCCAGAACGAAGTACCTGGATGGAAAATGGGAGAGACGCCGTCAGAGGGAGCCGGGAAAATGGGAGATGACTTGGAGGTGGCCACCCAGGATTAACCCCTGAGAAGGTTGGCATCCAGAGTTGACTCAGGCTACTGTATATCTCATAGTTGTGGAAGAGGAAGCAAGAAAGGCCGGGGGATAAAACCTCGTTGCGAGCCATGGTGGCTTGCTTCCCCCAGACTGCCAGCATGGCAGCTGCCAAAGCATGGGCTGCTTCTTTTTTCGGTGCACCAGTGCACTGATCAACGAAAACCATAGCGCGGGTCACGAGGTAGTATAATTACATATGTAGTATTATGTATACATTGACACTCTGGCAGTGCAGAGAGGCACAAAGCCTTGCACATTCTTCGAGATCCTGCTCTTCACATCACCGGCTTCGAGTCTCCGTACCGGTAGCCCAGCTCCAAGAATCCCAAATCCTTCCTGAGCAGAAAACGCAGTAATTACATGGACCATGCCCAGTGATTCACCTCACAACACCACAAACAACAGCTCTCTCGTGCAAATGGCAGCAGAGTGACGAGGAAGAAAAGAGCTGCAGAACTCACCAGCAGAAAACTCACCAATGCTGCTCACATCTTCAGCCAGGTTTCAAGCTGGCTGCAGTTTTCGATAGCTCCTCCTGCAGCTTTTATGGGTGCAAAATGACATACAGTATGTAAGTGCAATCCAGAAAGTAGTGTCATCTGAAAGGCAAATCCAAGTATTTTATTGTTCGAAGACATGACCATTTTTTGGTTGTTGGATTACTTTGCATTCTATCCATATACCTCAGGTTGACTCTGTACATGCATGTGGGAAATGTACAAGCTCGTAGCTGTCAAGATTGCCATTGCTTTGCCCATCTTTTGATGCTTCTCATGTGTCGTCCGAGAAGGCCTTCGCACTAGATTCGCTTGGAAGAACTGATGGACAGCGAATGGAACTTACTATGCACACCTGCATCGAAAGATCGGCGCTCCTTCGAGGGCCGAAATAGAAAACCCCATCAAGCCAGATTGAAACAGCGAGGCGTCATTCTTTTCAGTCGAGCAAGCTTGGCAGTCTCCCGGGGTTTCCCCAGGGTCTCCTGGTTCAAGGTGCATCCAAAGTGATTCCAGGAGTTGTAGCCCATGGGAGGTGCCTTGACCAAAGCATCATCAAGTGCCTGCGCCAAGGTGAACCTCGGACTTGTGTGAGCTAGATCCACTAGATCTATCATCCTAAGAAGACAACCGATCCCCACTCAACGCGGAAAGACTTGTCGTTCTCTATTTGAAGAGGGCTGCAACAACAGAGTGTGGTCAGCAAGACCAATGTCGATTATGAGGAGACCATGATGATTGCAAGAGACGATGCTGCAAAAGATTTTGCCTGTCCCATGATTCAACGTTCGGTCATCTTTTTCCAAAACAGGATCTTCCGTCACAATCTTTACAAGGCATGGTTCCCTCTGAATGATTACCTTCTTTCTGCTATGTCTTATCTATGAGTTCGCTTTCATCTTGCTGGCAAATTTAGGTTTCTCAAGGTGGAGACGAAAACACGCAAAACTCCGTGTGTGGCCCCAAAAAAACCAAACCAAGAAGCAAAAACTCCAACCGCAGCATGTGACAGACCGCTTTCCATGATTTGGGGGATGAAGGGATGGGTGCTTTTGGAGTGGATCTCCACCCAATAACAACTTTAGCCTTTGTGTGCCAATTGCTAGATGGTGGACCTCAATCCTACAAGCTGCACAATTGTCTAATGAAACATGCCGTTATTTTTGTCTCACCTGTATCAGCGTTGAATTCTAATTGGTTTCCCGTGCAACATCATACATATGACTTCTGTGGCCCATGGTTGCTCCTAACAGCCCTAAGATGGGAAGGTTTCAGGCATATTATGACATCCCAAGCACAGGTCTTCCGGCAAAAGCAGGAAAAATGCTGAGTGTTTTGATGGTTGGTCTTGCGGGACACATTTTTTCGGCAAGATGTGTCCATCAATCAATCAAGTTTCGCCTGGGACTAAAGTCCTATCATTGCCAATTGCAGAGGTTGATTAAACGTGCTAGCCATCTTGCAGTTGAACTCTTTTGTGAGTGCCGGAATGTCACTAACGGACCGAAAACTTCATCAAAAGGTGAAAACCAAATATATATACAACAATTTTGTTTCTCACACGTCAACCATACTCTCCGGCATTCTGCTCCAAAAACTGCGCGCCACAAGAACAACCGCCCTGTTTGTGTGCCTTGAGCCCAAAATGTGTCACTAAAATGTGTCACGCAGACCCTGCCAGTGCATCAACGCTGACATCTACGTGGGCGATACGCAACAAGGGCAAGGCGGTGTTGAAGATGCCCCACCACCAAGCTGGTCCGGCAACACGTCCATGCGTCTTGGAGCAAAACATCATTGGTACACCCCACAAGATTTTGCCAAAATCCTAGCCCCCTTCTAACTGCGGCGAAGGGAGTCGAAGGGAGCAGATCTTCAAGAAACTGCAGGGGCCAACTATTTGGGCACCAAATTTGCCTTTGGCTTAAAGGCCAATGCCAACAGATGGAGAACTGGACTTTGCGCACCTAGAAGGTTTTCTGCTGGGTTTGGCAGACATACTGATCACCTCCCGGTTGGATACTGGGGAGACCCTCTGTGGCGAGACCAGTTTTTGCTAGGGTTTTTGGACCCCAAAATGAAAGCCGAAACATACGACACACATACGAAAACGACTGCAACGAACCAGGCTGAGTGCACATCACTTCTCGACCCTTAGCTCTGGACTTTCCTGCCTTAGAAACTGGTCGTGCCTGTTCAGTCAGTGCATCGTTTTCCTACTCCTAAGCTCGCAGAAGCCTACGAGTACGGTATCCTGGATGGAAGTTTTGGGCAAGTAGTTTCGTTTGCCTCTCACTATCAGACCAGCTTTCGTATTGAGGTACCACTCTGGCACAAAGTGGAAGACGGGGTAGCTTTCCTGGGGAAAGAGCAACAGGAAGCAGCCCTGCCGATGCTAGCCAAACCGGTCCTGCCGGACAATGTGCCGAGCCCGGTCTCGAGCAGCGACGCCATAGCTGACCCCGCACTGGGCGCAGACAAAGAAGCTGAGGAAGCAGAAGAGGAAGAAGCTGAAGAGGAAACTTACCTCCCTGCCACGGGGCAGGGTTGTTATTCGTTCCATAGGAGCTTGCTGCAAAGAGCGGCGCAAACCTTCTCGAAGCGAAGTCTGGACGACAAATATGGGCAAGTAGCCAAGTGGCTGCTCACTGGCCTGGCAGTGGCCATTTCGCGGAAAAGCTGGCATCGTCTGTCAAAACACAGGACCTGTACAGTTACCCCCTACTGGTTACTTCAGAGGCACTTCCAACAAGGATATGCGTCTGATGAAAAAGACGCCGCAAAAAAGCCCTACTCGTCTGCTCATGCGCAATCCCTGTATGAAGACACATGGGAAGCACTTGTCACTAAAATCATACGTCAGGGCTACAATGAGGGGACCAACAGATTTAGAACGGCTAGAGAAGAGAGAGATGAGCTTGAGTTCTACACCACAATTAACCAGAACAATCCACTGTGTGTACCCCCGGAAGCAGGGTCGGGAAGCCGGAGTCAAGCTTCCTCTCATAGCCACCCGTAATACCGAAATGGAGCACGTAACGGTTTCAAGTGCGAGTCCCATAGCACCCTTACTGTGCATTCACGTCCTCAGGCGGCATCCCAAGATGTTGTCCTAACCAGAGGGGGTAAACACTAGTATTAGACAGCTCTTGACACGCGCGCAAATGACACGCCCACGGCCTTGCGTTCATACCTAGCGAAACCGGACACAGCAGAAACGGGAACATCCTTGGCTCTACTATACTGGCTCAAGTGGTCGGTAGTCGAGGTAGAGTGAGAGTGTCCAGACAGAGACTGCATCCTTGTTGTCTTACCTGCACGAGCGCCGAGGCTAACATGTCCCAGCTCCATGCTCAAAGCAGTGACAGTGACGGCCACTGCCCTCTCTGCCTTCAGCTCAATACTATTGCTGGCACCACAATTCAAATTCATGTGCCAGTAAGCATTCACCATACCTGGGAAATGTTAGAAGAATATCTCGTCGAGCACCTGCCCTCGGTTAGTCGAATAGACACCTTTGGCTGTGAGCTCACCTTGCTCGATGCCGACACGCACCAAGCACTGCAGGATCCCATTCAGGAGGACCTATGGTGGAACACCCAATTCTGCCTAGTCGTCCATGAGTGTTTTCAGCACGTTGAACGCAAAGAACAGATTCAGGGACTTGAGTATGAGGACTACCCCAAAGCAATCAGGGTCCCAGCCAACGACACTGGGATACTAGAGGCCAAAGCTTTCTTCTCGACCGCGCGACTCCGACACATCAAAGTGGACCCAGGGTTTCACACAATCAATCGACAAGCCTGGAGGTATTGCCACTCACTTCGAATTGTCAAGTTGCCGGACACAGTCGTCGCCATCGGATATGCAGCCTTCCAGGGTTGCTACTCCCTGATGACGGTTGAAATGCCAGGTTGCGTCGAATTAGGCGCTCGCCTGTTTTCGGAGTGTTGTGCTCTGGAACAGGTTGGCACCATTACGGATGGAGCCTGTCACTTGGCCATAGGAGCTGTCATAGGACAGTATGCCTTTGAAGAATGTGCCAAGTCAACAGACTACAAATAGTCCAACTGCCAAGTACAGTAGTCTGTCTGCAGGATGGGGCCTTCCGTAGGAACTATGTACTCCGCACTGTCGCCCCAGGATGCGAATATTTTGGACTCTGGGTGTTTGAAGAATGCTACTCCTTAGCACAGATTGGGGACCAAAGCACGACTTTTTTTTCCACGAGTGCGGACGCCATGTGGGCGGTGTGCCCAGGTCATCAAAGAAAGTATGGAGACACTGCAAGTAGGTGGGGGGAAGCAAACCAAAACACAAAAACCAAAACACCAACCAAAAACTAAAACACAAAACCACAACCAAAGGCCCCCAAGCCAAGGTAGGCAGCGTTTCCTCTGTACTGAGGTGAGACAGGTGAAAAGTTGATGAGCTGCAAAATACCTAAGGGCCTGAACTCGCTACGAAAAGGCAAAATGCTTCTGATCGTGGGTGATTGTTCCGGTTGGCCAATCAAAAGGTGGCCACCTGTCCTTGGCTAGGATGAGATCATCCAAGCCACGTGTAGTGTTTGGCACACGAATTATCTTGACTTTGCGAAAGGTGTGCCTTGAGCAGTGTCAGCAGTGATTATCTGATTGGATGACAAATGCCACAATGTCATCGGATGCAAAGCTCGGCAAGCCGTGGAAAACTCCCATTCCGTAGCACAGCCCATATTACTGTCTGCACATGCGAAAAGCAGAGGCTGGTATTGAGTATGGCAGTGAAAGGCAATGCAACAAAGAAACTGCTGGGTCCAGTGCTGATTTCCCTCCCCAGGGGGAGGCACAACACAACTCCCAATGGCTCCCACGCGTTTGCCAGTGGGATTACATGGGATGTTCATTCTTTCGTCAAATAGTGCGCTGTGGTGACACTATTCCTCAACATGCAAGGCCCATGTGAAACTGGTGAAACAAGGACCTATCCTAGCATGGTACTTGCGCCATCTTTGTACAAGATTGGCTGTGATCGGCTCCCGCAGACGAGCAACTAAGGTTCTCACCTGGGCGCCATTCATCAGCCACTCTGCTACCTCCCGCCTCCCAAGGACCAAGAGCCAAGGCTCCCATCCCGGTAGGCTCACAAAGTTGCAGACGACGAAGGCGAGAATGGCGACGCTCTCTGCGCATCGGAGCCTAATTCACTCTCGAAAAGTTGGGGAAGTATGCTTTATGCTAAGCCGGACACGTAGCCGCTGTCAGGAATCATATGCAACCACGGTGGCCATCGCATGGCTGGGCAAATAGCAAAAGCACTTTCTTCTGCATATGTTCCTCTCCATTTGTGCCGGACTGGGAGTTTGACTAGCCTCCGGAGTGCAGTGCAGTCGAGAAAGGCCCGACTGGCGATGTAATGCAACGATGGCGGTATCGCCAGCTCTGGCAGTGCAGCACAATTCATGAAAGCTTTGACACAGATGGTGTGTAGCGTATTCGGCAATTTGACTTCACCGAGACTGGTACAGTGCGCAAATGTAAATTCCTGAATTTCTGCAATCATTGTGTTCGAAATGTCAACTTTCTTCAGTAGTTTGCAGTTGTCACAGGCATGCGCCCCCAGTACTTGGAAGTCAGGCGTACGCTCTAGTGTAACTATCCCAGTAGAGCATAAACATCCTTGCGACAATTCCCTGGCCTCAGTCCGAGTTTGCGGCGCCAGTTGATGATTGGTTTCTTGCAGGACAAAGGTGGCTAAGTTGATGCAATCTCGAAAGAGATAGTGCCCAAATTTGGTTGAACTACAGAATTGATTCGCACCTCCTTCGCTGGCATGGACCCACTGCAGGGAGCTGCATTCGGCGAAGGCTTTATAGCCAAAATCAACACAGCCAGGCGCTGTGACTCGGTTAAGCAGATGACAACTGCGAAAGGTGTTCTCTGCTATTCTTACTACCGAAGCGGGCATCCTGACTATCCGTAGTTGCCGGCAGGACTGCCAAGCCTCTGCTCCCACTACTCTGATGCCTGGTTCTATGCTGACGCGGCGCAATCGTGGCACAGCTGTGAAAGCACCGTCAGGAACCATTTCCTCCGGGTTCATGGGGACATGGATTGCGAGTGGGATGTCTCTGAATGGACATCCTTCAAAAATTGCCTTCGAGTGAAGGACTTCACTGCAGCTACGAAACACAATGGTGTACTCAGTGCTTTGTTGCAATTTTTCCCAGATTGGGTTCTCTAAGTAGGTTTGTGTGTCGGCTTGTAAGAAGTCTATTGTACATCCGAAGACCTTCAGGTCAGTGACCGAGGCAATATAGTCAACCACATGGTCTTCAAGGTCCTCAAATCTGTCAAACTTAGCGACACTCATGGTGATGTGCACAACAGTGCCTGATAAAGCGGTGAGTGTCAGATGACACTCCATGACAGGTTCGCGCTCTCGAGGAGAGCTAGCATCGGAGGAACAAGGAGTCTCCATGTTCAAACTGCTGAAGGAAATATCTGATTGAGCCAGGACAAGCTGATTATGA